CGAGAAATGGGCCGCCACCGCCGTCGTGGGCGGCACCCACCCCACGGGCGCCACGACGGTTGAGTGGGGCTGCGACGTCAGCGCAGGTGAGCGCAGGCACTGCCGAGCGCCAGACACGTCGGCGCGCCGCCCTGGCGCGTGCGCGGCCCGCGAGGCGTGCCGCGAGGAGGTGATGCCGCCTCCCTCGGCCGCAGGAGGACAATACGAGAGCATCGGTCCGATCTGCCCTCGGGCCCCGTTCCTCCCCGTCAGGCCCGAGGCGGGGCCTCGTCGCGTGCGCCTGCAAAGATGCTCGTGCGAGCCCTCGCTGGAGACGCCGAAGTTGCTGTCCAACGCTTCGCGTTTCGCCCAGCGCGGCCTTTGGAAGGAGACGGCCCTGCCACCACCAGCGCTCTCGAGTAGCTTCGCGGCGCGGGATGGGCAGTGGTGCAGGAAGGGTGGGGGTCTCAGCTCCCTCACACCTCTCACGCTGCTGAGCTCCAGACCCACTGCAGTGGAGCTAATTTTTCCGATGGTGTCCAGAGATACATCGCTGACAATGTGGCGGTACTGGCCGCCTGCGCGCGCGGTGTCGCGTGCTCATCTAGTCCAGCGTGCTTGAATGCCGGGCACTGGCGCCGAATACTGAGTACTGGCCACCCACGGCCGAACGGCCGTGTTTTCTGCAGCACGATCTGCACTAGGTGGCCAAAGGCCGCTGGCGTTGCGCTCAGTGCTCGCATGGTTCCCTCGGCTGGAAGGCTGGGACGACCTCAGAATGTGGGCGTATGGCGCCCAAGAGCTGGCGTCGACTGCAAGAGCTCGCACACACGCATGTTCTGTGGGGCGAGGTGATCGGCCCTGAAGGCACGCCGTCAGAGCAAGGTGATTCCGTGATGTCCCGTGTGCAATGTGCGTAATATACTCAGCTGCGACCGCGCGAGCTGGCACACACGTGCGCAGCCCAGGCCCAGCGCACAGGGCCTGTTGTTTCGGGCGTGGCCTCCACCCCCGCACTGGCAAGAAGGATGTGGTGTCGGAGAGCTGGGCTCTCCAAGATCTGGGTTCCTCACTCACGAGAATGAGGGCACTGCGTAGTGCAGCTGTGGAGCTGGCTCGTTCGGCGTCCATAAGCGGGGCACCAACTCCTCCTTCTCTCCCGATTCCAAATTTCCTCTAGCCTCCTCCTTCCTCCCCCCCTCCCTTCCCCCCCCCGCCTCCTTCCCCCCTCCGCCTCCTCCTCCTCCTGGTCTGGTCGTGCGCACCCACCACATGGGGCGCGTTGTGCGGATATCCTGGGCAAATGGCAGCTCCTCCTTCTCCTCCTCACCCTCCTCCTCCTCCTCCTCCTCCTCCTCTTCCTCCTCCTCCAGGCGGCCCGAGGCCGCCCAGCAGCGCAACAGCCGCCTACCGACATAAACAACACATCACACGAGCAGCGGGCCACGATGTTCCCTCCTCGTGCATAGAGCCGCACGGCGGCGGCGCTGCCCCGCGAACTTCATGGGCAGAGAGAATGGATCGTTGAGAGCAGTATGCTACAACCCGTGCGTGGCGAGGTACACGGAGCGGCTGAAGGACACCGTGCTGGCGCTGACGAATAGGGACATCTACGTACTAGCAAAGTCGTATGGAGAGCAGATAAGCGAGACTTGTATGATCGAAATCACCTGGGTGATAAGGGTTGGGCTCAGGCGTAGTGCATATGTTACTGCATCATGTGGCATCACATTCCTCATCAAGACTTCCAGGTTTCCCAGACCCACTTTGGAGCGGATATATCCCTCACCAGAGTTATTGTGGGGACGATGTGCTGCTACCAGCTTTCAGTCTAGATTGAAGGCGACTGGACTGATTGCGCTGTACTTCCCCCTTCGGCAGACATCGGCAAAACTGCACAAGACTCACGAGGAGGCCTGCCAGAGGATGGTGCAGTGTTGTCAGATAACGTTGGAAGGGACGTCCTGCGAGCAGTTCATTCCTCTTGTACTCACGGATTTAAATGGTGGGCTCCCCTCGTCAAACGATGACAAAGGAGATGGACCCTGTGGATATGGCAAAGAAAGCTACGCGTGTGTGCAGTTATGCCCGTGTCTTGAAGTGTGGGGCCTCACAGCAGCCACCACTCATTACTACAACGCCAGTTACATAGACCACTTTTGTATTCCAGTGGAGATACTTAGTTCTGCTGAACGGTGCAATGTGTTATGTGAGACTGTTAGAAGGCTACAGCTACATGATGTTGGTGAAGTACGTGATGACTGGCCTGTGCAATGGGTTGTTCGTCGTGTTACAGCATTGGGGCAAATTCCTGAGCGGACTTCCCGTCCCAATCGTGAGGCGCTATTGTGTTGCCGGCAGCAGGGACACAGAGGGCAGGAGCTGTTTGATGTCATGGAAAGGAAGTGCCAGGAGCATTACAACCTGGTGAACGAGCTTGAGACGAAAAACATCTCGAGCGGATGAATGAAATGTTTGTGCATATTGTGATCAGTTCTTCAATGGAAGTGTTGCATACGAGCCCTCTCTACATGGAAGACCGTCAGCAGCAGACCGCACTATTAAATCACATAAAACAAAGGAGAGAGTTATGCCATCAGCGGTCATGGGCCTTTATGATAGATCAGGTTGCAGTCTTATCCAACACAATTATGCAGGAGATCAAAGAGCTGAAGCAGTCCAACCATCGCTACTGGGACTCAATTGCTGAAAGAAGATGCGAAGAAATGCGATGGGCTGCCAAGGACAACAATTGCCACCTAGTGCAACGTCTTGCCCGATTGGAAAGAGGGCCTCGACAAAGGAAGCGTGCAGCGACACCGACATCGACGGCAAGTGCAGCAGGATGGTGTACCAGGATGGAGCTACCCAGTGGGAAAGGAGGATGTTATGCTGTTGAGGCTGGCGCTGAGCTGGTTAAGAACGAGGGCATCGCTGAATGAAGGACGACCAGCTCTCACTGACGAAGAAGCTATGGAGTTATCTACTGATGACTGGATTGGTATGCACATGACAACATGGCAAATGAAACGTTGGAGAGCGTATCCAGCATGGTCGATGCCCGAGGCGGACCTTGTTACAAAAAATGGTTTCATGCAGTTGAAGTGGATCCGACATGGGAAGGGAGTCTCACCCAGCAGACGGCACTAACTGATTTTGGAGATGTTGTTTCTTGTAAAGTACTTGATGTACGGTATCTGGTACGCAAATGTCGTGCAATAATGGGTGGCACGGAGACCTGGGATGAGGATAAGCAGCACGTCAGTACCATAAGCGGGCTTGAGGTAAAAAAGCTCCGACGTGCTCCACTGTTCAGTGAACCTCGCGTTCGCAGACTGGAGTGGCGGCAAACTATGGTGCAGGATCGGGATCAACACATTCAGTTCGTGTCTACGTGTTTTAGAAAGCCTGCTCTCAACGGAGGTTTTATCTCGGAGGAAGGGATGGTGCGGCCTCATGCACATCCGCGGGCCGACCAGTTCCAGTATGACTTGGAGGCACTAAAAGAGTTGGAGATGGGGGAAACTATGTGGGACATTGGAGGGAGCATGAAGAACATCATGAGTGAGGACTACGAGGATTTCACACAGGATGATTGTGATGAACTACGAGCTAAGATACTAACTACGCCCATTAAGAGCACGCACAAGCAAGTACATCATGAGAGCGAGTTCATATGCAAAGAAACTCTGGCAGGCGGCACGATATGCAACACGGCATGGCCCACGCACAGCAGCGGAGCTACTCAAGGCTATCAGCGAGCCCGACAGTCAGTTACACCAAGTCTGGAGATGTTGACGGCACCATACACACTGGGGGGCAAGGTGATGGGAAGTGAATCAGGCATGTCTGAGCTACTCAGAGCCGCTGGCGGAAATGTGACTACGTGGCAATATGGCTTACAAGTCGAGGCTGCATGATACTAAGTGTGGCGAGATTAGAGCCATGAAGAACCATCGCATATTCTTCTCTCGTCAGTGTACCACTGATCAACGGACTGAGTGGCCTCTACCTACGCCTCAACCATGGTGTTGACATGAAGTCGCATTGCGCGCTGCCCACCAGTGTCATGACATCTCTCGAGGGGGTAGACCCGTAGAGCCCATATGGGTGCCCACGACGGCTTAAATGCGACGGAGCGTGTATCCCCTCGAGTTGCATATATACGTGTATATATATACTTGGTGGTCAGTAGAGTCTTTGAATTGGCGGTCTGGACTAGCATCTATGACTGCGTTTGATGTGGCATCAGTATTTCAAGATGGAGTGAATTGTCTATACTCGCTATTCCAACGTGGCTAGCGCCATCTGAGTCCGAGCGTGGTTCACCCGCGTGTTGTCCTCTTTTGGAGCCTGGGACCACCACTAGGCCGAGGCCTAATGGCCTAGGCCCGTGGAGGCGGTGTTCTGGACTCCTCCTGAAGTAGCGTGTCTGCGACGCCGATTGAGGTGGGTGTCTTGGGTCTCTTATGTGTCAAAGGCCGCTGCGTCCCCGCCCACCACCGCCTCCGTGGTGATGGGTATCCCCTTTGGGGACAGTAGCCACCACGGTGGTGAATGAGGGTTGCAGCAGCCTAGCTCGAAGGCCACGTCAGACCTTTCGTATCCCAGGAGCTCGCCTTTAGCTGTGAAATTCGAGCGGTGGATTTGGGTCTTGTTCTCACTGGATCGGATCTGCCACCGCTGCAGTGCTTCCACACCTTCATCTTCCTCCTCCGCCAGGCCCCGCTGTGCTGCCCTCTTGCTAGCCAATCGTCATAATCTGTCGGTGCTTGAGAGGATTGCGATTAGCGACAGGTCTCCCCCCCCCGAATTTGTGCCCAGCCCGTTGAGTTCAACGGCCAGGCCCCCGCGCAGGCAACTCAGTGTTGCATCTGCCAGCGCGTGTGGCTCTTAGAGCTAGCAAGATGAAGGGGGTGCATATAAGTTGTTCCCCCCCCCCAGGTTCGGTCAGGATGTGACATCGAACTGAATGGGTGAGAGCGAGCTCCTCCTCCTCCTCCTCCTCCTCCTAAGGTGGCCTGCAGGTCGGGGTGCGTGGGCATGTCCGCAACAAGCAGCTCAGGCATCTCCGCGCTGAATGCCTTCCAGGTCACGTCCTGCCGGTCTGCCGGGCGGGGGGTCCTCCTTCCCCTCCTGCTCCTCCTCCTCCTCCTCCTCGGTGCCGCGGCACCCTGCCGGGCAGAGTTCCTCCTCTTCTTCTTCCCCTCGCTCCCCCGCCACCGCCACCACCACCTCCTCTTCCTCATGCCTCTCCCTCTCGTCCTCCTCCAACTCCTCCTCCTTCTCCCCTCATCCTCTTCCTCCTCCTCCTTCTCCTCCTCCTCCTTCTCCTCCTCCTCGGTCCCTCACTACCCCGCTCCCTCCCTCGCTCATTCCCTCCCTCGTCGTGCTGCCGCGCTCTCCCTCGCTACACCACTTCACCTTCCCTCTCTCCATCGTTCCCCTCTGCTCCCTCCTCCCCTCCTCCTCCCCCTCCTCCTCCTTCCTTCCCTCCCTTACTCGCTCCTCGTCCTCGCGGGAGCCCTCGGGGTGGTGATCGACACACATATATAAAACACCTCTTTAACCTGTAGATCTTTTGCAAGTCATGCGTTGGAGCTCGTCTTGAATCCAGCGGTGTCGACGGCACCCCATCCCTAGCAGGCCATGGTAGGCAATGGCCGACTTCCAAATCCCCTCCTCTACTCCTCCCCACCCTTCTCCTCCCCGCCAGGAGAACATGTCCACAAGAAGACCCTCCTTCAGGATAAGGGAAGCACTGACACCAGCGGTATGCTGCCCTCCGAGGTAGAGAAGCAGCGGAGACAGCGTCCAAGGGAAACACGTCCACGGGGAGGGGATGACACTTGTTTGTCTCCGGAGTGCACAGCCCTGCCGCGCGAAGGAACAACACAATGTATCATCAAGCATCCTCAAATGACTCCAATCGTGGTGCAAAGGCGGTAACTCGGGCCGGGCGAAAGGGGGGGATAGCAAAGGGAGGATTTGAGAATCAGCTCACGTAGCTAATTTTCCCGGCGCCTCCCGGCGCCGGGGGCGGCCATGTATGGAGGAATGGGCCCCTCGGTGGGGCCGAAACCAGCTGCATGCCGTAGATTTCGTACCCCCCCCTTTCCCAGTCCCCCCCTTTCGTCTGGCCCGAATAACGTAGGGGCTGGTGATGACGTTGATGCCTCTTTTACGGGTGGCGGATCCGGAGTGCGCTCTGGGCGGAGGTTATTGGCTTGTGCATGCTGCGCGGCCTACCGGCGCGACACGCCCGTGCCCCGACGGCTGCCCTCGGGCGGCCTTTCGGTCACTCTCCGCCCCGAGGGACTTCTCGGAGACGATGGCATCAACGGTTCGCTTCCGGCGCTCCTGACGAGCGAAGGGTCCATACTACGCAGGGCGTCAGCACTGCTTCGGCTGATAAAACCTGCGCTTAGGGTAGCTTCAGGCTTCGGGCCGAGGCTAAGCCTCTGTTGGCATGGCCTTGGCTCGCCGCTGAAAGCGGTCACGCTCCTGAAGTGGGTCAGTGTTGATTCCAGCCGTGGCGACGAAAGGTCAAAGCACGGCCCACAAATGAAGCCGTCACCAGTGGGAACGCAGGCACGGGGAGGGAGGGACTGCTGCCGGCGGGCCTCCTTTCCTTACCCACCGCCCAGCTAGCCACAGACGCTTCGCGGGGTGCACTTGCAATCATGCTCCGGCAGCAGCAGTGGCAGGAGGGGCAGGAGACGAGGGACACAACGGCTCAGGCCGAAACGGACCCTCGACCCCCCGAAACTCAGACGGGGTCCAGCCATCATCGTGACAGTCGTTATCATCAAGATCACGATCAACCATCATCATCAACCCAGCATCATCACCATCATCATCACCATCACCATCAGCATCAGCATCAGCATCAGCATCATCATCATCATCAGCAGCATCATCATCATCAACAACCTCATGAACATCATACACACCATCATCATGAGGATCATCATCATCAGCGTCACGATCATCATCAGCATCATCATCATCATCATCATCATCGTCGTCATCGTCATCAGCATGATCATCAGCATCAGCATCAGCTTCATCATCATCACCATCCTCGGCATCCTTCTCATCGTCAGCGTCAGCGTCAACGTCGTCGCCATCATCGTCGTCATCGTCGTCATCATCATCACCATCGCCATCACCATCACCATCATCATCAGCATCAGCATCAACAGTAATCGCAGTCACCATCACCATCATCATCATCATCATCAACATCATCATCATCAACATCATCATCATCCGTCTCGTCGTCGTCCCCCTCGTCCTCAATCTTCATTCCCATCCTACTCACCCCTCCTCCAATTTCCTCCTCGTTAAAATCCCAACCGCGGTCCGACCCGCTGACGATCTGCAGAGCCGTTGTGAGAATGAAAGGGTCGTAGAACACGCCCGTGCAGTTGCCGAACTCGCGGCACGCATCGCAGAGCTCGTTCTGGTGCGCGCCCTTGCTCTCTCGATTGTTTCTCCGGTCCTCCAGGGGCGAAAGCCGCGGAGGGGGAGATTGAGGCGGAGGACGGTGGAGGATGATGGAGGCGATGGGATGGAGGATCCTATCCAGCTGTGCGCAACATTGGTCTGTGGCGCCATAGGGGTCCGTGAACAATGCATGTGGTCACCCGCCTTGAGCACGCGCGGGTGGAGCCCCGCGGCGAGCCCAACAAGCCTCCTCATCTTCCTCCTCATGCCTCAGCCTCCTCCGTCATACCTCATACCTCAGCCTCCTCCTCCTCCTCATCCCACAGCCTCTTCTTTCCTCACCTTGCGTGGGGACATTATTACATCTACCCCTGTCCAGGGTTTTCTTTTGCCCACCGCGGATAAGATTGTTTCTCACTGCGGTGGCAAAGCCGCTCCATCAACATTGCGGCCGCCGTCTGGCAATGCGAGATCGCTTCACCCAAAGACAATGCGTTGGCGCGCGCGCGTTGCAACAAACTGACAGGCAAAGGGGGGCAAAGGACTCGTCCACAACAGTTATGGACGTTTACCGCACAGACGCAGGACGGATACTATGAGCCGCGGGCTGATCCAAGACGGGAAATCGATTCCTACGTCAATTGGGCCCCCAGGGACATGAACACAGTGCCCGACTACCTCGTGAACGCAGCGATGGACACGCGTCAAAATCTCCACTGGGAGAGCCCGGAGGCACTGCACAAATACGTTTCCAGTGGGGCTATTAAGATATGCGTGGATGGAGGCCTTCGCGGTCTGCATTCTGATAGTCACCGGTTGGCGGGGATCGGCTATGCAATCTATGGGGCTCAGGGCGTTGACGGACACGAAGTCCACTACGAGGAGCTAGCGCTGAAGGGGAAGGTGGGGACGAACATCCGGTCTGCGTTCGAAGCGGAGACGTTAGCTTTAGACGCAGCGTTATGTGCATTTTGCAAGTATCTCGCCATAGTTGTGTGATTGATTGTAGCATTTTTTTTTGTCCATGTTGATTGCCTGTCCCTCCTTCTCCTCCTCCTCTTTGCCAGCTGGTTGATTCAGTATTCTTATGCGTCTGTAATCGCAGAAACGTCCCTCGACCCAGGCACAGGCCCCCGGGGTCGCTATGAGCTCGACGCAGTGTCATGGCAGGAACCACGCACATTTTCCTTTCACGCGCCCGGTAGGGCCAGCGGCAGTCCGAAAGAAAGAAAGAGAAAGCCGCCGAGATGGGGACCTCCCGAATTGTCTGAACTTGCCCCCCAGCGGATCGACTCCAAACGGTTCGGGGATATCTTTTTCGGACCCAGGGGAACTGAGCAAACGATCACCAAACCACGCTGCCCCTGGCCCTCACGAGCCTGCGAGCGCCCACGCGTCGAGACACGTTGCGCAGCGGTGCGCTCCCAAGAAGCCTCTGGCGAAGACAGATATGAGCCCAGAACACGTGCAGACGAGGATGCCCGACCTCGTTCCAGGTCGCCCGCCGTTCCCGCAGTCGCGTCCAGGCGCAACCGCTTCTGCTGCGCGGCCCCAGCGGAATGACGGGCCCCATCCCCAAGCAGACGAACAATGACCTTGGCCAGTGGCAGCGCCTCCCCCGACGAGGTGCGCAAGCGTTTAGGCCAAGGGCGCACGCGCGCCTCCAACAAAAACGGTGCGCAGCTTGCCAGGTGTTTCCCCTGGGCAGGGGTCATGAGAAGTATTCCGATGCGGCCCTCCTTCCTCGGCCTTTCCCCCACTCCTTTTCATCCTCCACCCTTCTCCTCCCCCTCCCCCTCCCTCATCCTCTTCCCTCATGTTCCCCACCTCCTTCATCCTCTTCTCCTCCCTCAGTCTTTCCTCCCACTCACACACAAGCACACAAGCACTCCCCCCACACACACACACACACACACACACACACACACACACACACACACACACACACACACACACACACACACACACACACACACACACACACGCGCGCACACACACTCTTCTTGCTTTTTCCACGCAAGCGCCGGACTGAGAAGCAGATCCGCTACCCCTCATGGGCGCTATCCCCAGCGACGAGGCGATGCGAGCACCACTGAACGCGTTTCAGAGCCAAGCTGTGTTACACCCTGTATAGAGTGGCCTAGACGGCCCCATCCATAAATCAGACAGAACAAGCGAGAGGAAAGGGGGAAGACGAGGAAGGAAGAGGAGGAGGAGGAAGAGGAAGAGGAGGAAGAGGAAGAGGAGAAGGGAAGAAGGGAAGGAGAAAGCGTGATCCACCGCCGCTTTACTGTGGAAATTTCCCCCCCCCCCCCCCCCCCTCCTCTTCCTCTGGAACCCGGGGACCCCCCCCCCCCCCCCCCCCTGGCACCCCCCCCCCCCTCCCCTAACCCCTCCCCCCCCCCCCTCGAAAAACCGGGCGGGTCACTCCCGGTGGTTCGGACCCCCCCCCCCTCGAAAACCAGAGTGGGGGGTCACTACTGGTTCGAACCCCTCCCCACCTCCCCTCACCGCCAGCATGACGACTCCCGGTCCCTACCACCGTCCGCACCACATCCCCCACTGTTGTTCCCAGCACCACTGTCCTCACCACCACTGTCCCCGCTGGTTCCAACACCGCCCCTACTGTCCCCACCAGTGCACCCACCACTGTCGCATTGTCCCCACTGTCCCCACCACTGTTCCCACCACGGTTCCACTCTCCCCACTTTCTCCACGGCCCAAACCACTGCCCGACTTTCCCCACTGTCCCCACTGTCCCACTGACTCCTCCGCTGTCCCACTGAGCTGTCCAACTGTTCCCACCACTGTCCCCACCACTGTCCCCACTGTACCTCTGTCCCATTGTCCCACCGCCGTCCTCGCCACCGCCTTCACCACTGTCCCCACCACCACTGTACCCTCCACTGTCCTACTGTTTCCACCACATTCCCACTGTTCCCACACCACTGTCCCCACCACCACCGTCCCCACCACTGTCCCACTGTCCCCACTGTTCCCACCATTGTCCTCACCACTGTCCCCATCACTGTCCCACTGTCCCCACTGTTCCCACCATTGTCCTCACCACTGTCCCCACCACCACCGTCCCCACCACTGTCCGCACCCCCCCCGGTTTTCGAGGGGGGGGGCGGGGGGGTTCGAACCGGTAGTGACCCCCCCCGGTTTTCGAGGGGGGAGGGGGTGTTCGAACCGGTAGCGACCCCCCCCGCTTTTCATGATGGACTGGGGGGAGGGGGGGTTCGAACCAGTAGTGACCCCCCCCGGTTTTCCGAGGGGGGGGGGGAAAGGGGTTCGAACCGGTAGTGACCCCCCCCCGGTTTTCCGCCAGCAGCGGTAGAACACGCTCTTTCCAGTCAAGCGATCAGTGGGGCTGGCGCCGCGACAGCGGAGCGCGACTTTGTTGGCAAGGAGCCGTTGTCTCTGGGCGCCCTCGGCGTCGCCTGCGGAGCCCGAGGAGGTGCTAGGCCTGACGGCGGCAAGGCGCGTGGGGGGGGCCGAGACGGGGCGCGCGGAGGCACGCTGGCGCGAGAGCGGTCAGCCGACGCGGCGTGGGGGCTGGCCGGAGCTGGACCAGGTGTGGGGGGCGGAGGCGGTGCGGGAGCCACGTCTGGATTGACCCCCGCGCCTGCAGCTGGGGCGACCCTTGGCAGGCCCCCGAGACACCCGCGCCAACAAACACACACACACACACACGCACACACACACACGAAAATGCTCACACGCAATCACACGCACACACGCACACACGCACACACGCACACACACACACGCACACACAATCACACGCACACACGCACACACACACACACGAAACTGCTCACACACACACACACACACACACACGCACACACACAATCACACGCACGCACGCACACACAAGCACGCACGTACGCACACAGTCACACACACACGCACGCACACTCACAAACACAGCACGCAAGAGCAACGCACGCAACAGCCCCGCACGCACACACTCACACGCGCACCACAGAGGCGCACACACAGGCACGCACGCACGCCACGCACAGGCACGCACGCAACGCACTACACGCACACGCAACACAACACACACACACACACACGCACAAAAGTCTACACAACTGCTGGAGGAAGCAAGCAACGCACACGCCACACGCACACGCACACGCACACGGCAACACGCACACGCACAGCACACGGCCACACGCACAGGCACAGGGCACACGCAACAACGCACACGCACAACGCACACGCACACGCACAGACGCACACTCACACGCACTACGGCACACGCACACGCACACGCACATACGCAACACGCACACCACAGACGCACACGCACGCACACAAACACAAACGCGCGCACACACACGCGCGTGCGCGTCGCGCGCGCACGACACACACCACGACACACACACACACACACGCACCCACACACACACACACACACACACAACAAAGCACACACACACACACACACACACACACACACACACACACACACACACACACACACAAACACACACACACACACGAACAGAGAGGGCACCCTGGCGCCCGGTCCTGCTCGTACTCCCGCTCCTGGCGGTTCACCACGCGCCACTCCTGGGGGGCCGCGGCACCCGGCCCAGCGGAGGAGGCGCAGGGGCGCCGGCGGTGCAGGCAGAGCTGGGCCGCCCGTGTGGGGGGGGGGGGATCGGAGAGGAGAGGGGGGGGGGAGGGAGGGGGAGGGGGGGAGAGGAGGGGATCGGAGAAAGGAGAGGGGGGGGGGGGGGGTGGGAGGGAGGGGCTGGAGATGGGGCTGGGCAAGGCCGCCCCCCTTCGAAGGGGGGAGGGACGAGGGCGGATCGGGGGCCAGGGAAGCGGAGAGAAAGGGGGGAGCAGCGGGCCGCGCCGCACGAGCGCCTATGAGTGCGCAGGGGAGCGCCGCCGGGCCCAGGCAGGCTCGCCGGACGTGCCCGCGCGCGCCCCCTGCCACCCAGATATCCGCCGGCCTGTGTTTTGTTTCTCTGACTACCTACCAGGCCACCCCAACCCAACCCGAAGACCCGAATTTCGGGTTGGGGGGGGTACGGGTTCCATATGTGTTTTCTCGATGTTCCCCGACCCCCCCCCCACTGGAAATGGAGGTCAAATTGAGGCCTTCGGGTTGGGTTGGGGTGGTTTGGTGAGTGGTGATTCTCTGCCCGCGGCCCCAAGGAAGGGGGCCCGACCCCTTCCTGGGCGCCCGGAGTGATACGGGATGGCCCCAGTGCGCGGAAAGTGGCTCCAGCTTGGGCCCCCGGCGCGCGAGCCGGGAGTTACCTTTGACCACCCCCAGCCCCAATGATTCGGGAGCGGCTGTGCGCCTGAACCATCCGGGGGGGAATCGGGTCCAGAGCAACTCTTGTCTGGCCCCCCGAGGCACGAATCGGGAGCACCCCGTGACCACCAGCCCTGATGATTCGAGGCTCTGACCTTCCTCCGGGGTGCAGTTTTGCGCGCCGCGTCCATCCCTGATGGCCCCGGGGCCGGCAACCTGCCCAATCGGGAAGACACGGCCCGACGGACAAAAAAACATCTCGGAAAACAAAAACTGCATGAACACGAACTGTTAGAAGTCCGCACGTATTTCTTGGATCGGCGCTGGCGCCCCCTGCCTGGCGGGCGGAACGCGCCACGGCAGCGCCACAGGCGCCGCCAGCGGGCTCCGGCGCCGATCCGAGCAATCCACGCAGACGTCCGACCAAATTTGCTTCTGCCATTTTAAAAAAGGAGACCGCTTACAGTTAATGTATCCCCGACTCCTTCGTTGATGTCGGATCTACCAAACAAAGTAGACCCCTCGTAGTATTCGAACCATTGGGTCGCAGATCCGACAAAGAATCGTGGAGTCCAAGTATTCAGCCGATTTCCGAATACTCGAACCACGTGTTCCCCAGATATTGTTAGAGGTTGAAGGCATTTGTCGGCGCCCTCGACTTTGGGGGCGTCCGAGGGGGGGCGTCCAAAAGGGGGGGGCGTACGTGCGCGGCCCTAAGGGGAGGTCAGAGACGCACTGAGACACGAAACGGCTCCATGAAATCTGAAGGAACATCATGGCCTCCGCCGTGATCCCCCCCCCAGTCATCACCCCGCCCCCATAACATCATGGCTCACCCCCCTCCTGGCCGCCCCCGATGACCGCCCCGCCCGGCTGGGGCCGGTGCTCCGCCGGGACGGGCGCCGCGGGGGGCCGAAGCCTGGGCGAGGCCGGCGGGCGGGCCCGCCGCCGAGCCGGCGAGGGTCGGAGGGCGCGAGCTGCGCACTGGGCACCGGTCCGGGCCAGGCCAACCCTGGGCCCAGAGTCCCAAGAGGTGGAGGAGGAGGAATCGGAATCGGAATCGGGATCGGAACATATATTTTTTAAGCCGCAGGCGGAAGCGCCAGCGGCGGGCGGTCACGGTCGGGCTGCGGCCGCGACTAACGGCGGGCGCGCGCGAAGCCGCGGCCAGGCGGCAGGCAGGAATCGGAACATACGCGAAGCGTTACAGATTGATAAAACTACTCCTTGGGTCTTAAGCCCCTGGAAAGCCTGTCGAAATATTCCCGCCTCTTGCGGGCCACGCAGCGAGCTCAGCAAGCGCGCAACCTTATGGCTGCCGCCAACGTCGCCACCTCCGTGCTATCTGTCTGGACGGTGACGTCCGCTACCCTTACTTAGCGGTCGGGGGCGAGGGAGTGCGAAGGCTGGCCCCGCCCTGGGAGCTGGGAAATAATTTAGAGCGGGCTGAGCAGCAGCAGCAGCAGCATCAGAAGAGGAGGAGGGGAGCTCAAGACCAGGAGGGGCAGGGATCACAGCACAGAAGAGAGTGGACGAAGTTGGGGCATCGTGCAGGCCAGAAACACGAAGCGCGGCTGATTCACTCAACGATCCTGACCTCAAGTGTGCCTGAGCTCGAGTACTCTATCCCCAGTCAAATCCACCTCTCTGTAGCCTGCCTGCTGCATTACTCTGGCTGCCGACTTCTCTTGGCCTGGTTGATTTCGCGGCCTGACCTGCCAGGGACAGCCCGAGTCCGCGACAGATCACGAAACTCACGAACCCATCCCTGCAGCCACTCTCCTGAGAACCTGGCCAGGGCTTACAGCAGGCAACTCATCACTAACGCCCCGCGCGGGGCCCCCCTCCGCCGCCCCCCCCCCGCCCTGCTCCACGAGCGCCTCGCGGATCAACGCGAGAAGGGCCGAACCGTTGCTCGTCGACGTGTCGAGACGGAACTGGATCTTCACATGCTCTGCCTGCTTGGTGATTTTCGTCTTGAGCCTCTCGCATGCGCATTTGCAGTGGCGCGCCATCTCGTTGAGGTCGTTCGGCGAGATGGCTGTCTGCGCCCTATGGTCGCAGCGCTGGCGCACCGCCTTGCGGTTCGCCTTCAGCACCTCGCCCTCGCGCGCCTCGCCCTTGCCCGGGGCCCCGTCGAGCGTCGCCGCGAAGGTCCGCAGGAAAGGGGGCGCGCGCCTTGGGGGGGTCGAGCTGCTCCCCCTTCTTCTCCGCCTCGTTGTCTTTCTGACGACGCTCGCCAGCCCCCGCGTTGAAGTCGACCCCCTCCTCGAGCATGCGCCGGGGCGCGACGGCCTCGAGCGGCGCCAAATGCGCGTCGTGCGCGGCCCCCGACAACGCCCGCAGCTCCACCTCGCCCGCGAGCGCCAGCTTGGCCAGCACCGCCACGAACTCTTCGAGCGCCTGCTCCTCGATTCTTAATCAGGCCCTTGGCCCCGCCAACTGGGTCGCGCGCCGCCTCCGCGTCCTCCTCTGCGTTGCTTCGCCGCGGAGGGTCGCCCCCCTTTGCGCTGCCCCGCCCAGCTGGGCTGCTTCGCAGCCGTCGCCGTCTACTGCAAAAAAGCTGCTCGTCAATATAGATGTGCCGCCTTCAACCATGCGCCCTCAGCACTTGAGGTACATGACTGCGGACATGTGGTTGGGAATCGGGGATCTCAGATGCGCGAGAGGTCGTCGGGCTCTTGGAGAGGGCCCCCACTAGCGTAACAGCGCCCGCGAACCATCGACCCCGCCATATGCCGAGCCGCAACGGCACTCCAAACATCCCAGACACTGAATAGCAGAACGTTATCTATGGCCCAAGGAACGAAGCCGATGCTGGAATACCAGATGTTTCAGCACCGACTTCTCGTCGCAGAACTTCGCCTCGCATCGGCGCCCCCCCCGTCGTCGCGCCGCCCTCGCCCCCCCCCCCCCGCCGGCCCCGCGCGCCATCTAACCGCCCCGCCCTCCGCCACCTCCTGCTTGAGATCCTGATCCAGAGGAGGCTTGCGCCCAGGAAAGGGGAGAGCAACGGTTCGTCGCAGTCAACGCAACTGGGCGAGATCGAGCCCGCAGAAGTCTCGCCCCGAGATTTTCCCAGCAGAGCGCGGGGAAGGGCGCCTGGTGTCGAGTCAGAAATGTTTCGCCACCCTCCAGAAACTGCAGCACCTCCAGGCCGTCGTGAAACGCCAGTGCCCACGGATTCGCACATGCTGCGAAGCGGCCCCGACAGTCACATTGCGGTCGTTCGCCCGCGGGCAGAGCGCCGAACATCGCGACCAATATCGGCGCGCTCCGCCGTGGAAACTGAACAGATTGCGCGCGCCATCCAAACCTGCGAATCCTGGGCTCTTTGACAGGCGAGCGCAATCTCCGGTGCTCGAGCACCATCATAGTAGATATGCTATATGCACGCCTGTCCCATTCGTAACTAGCCCCATGCATTGCGACGCGACGGCGCCGCATGATGGCCGAGCCGAGCTTGTTGCACTGACGTGCAGCGACGAGATGGGCTTCTAATCCCACCAGCCCTCTGGGCGTAGGTGGTTTATGGAGTTTCCTCTTCCACCCCTCCTTCTCCCCCTTCGGGGGGGGGGGGGGGGGGGGGCGTCGCCCCCCCCCCACCCCCACCCGACCCCCTCCCCGAGACCTGGGCGGGGGGGGCCGCTGGTCGGCAGAGCGTCCAAGATGGCCCCAAACGGCTCCAAGAGCGCTTCGGAAAGCCCAAGATGAGCTCCACGATGGCTCGAGATAGCCCAAGATGCCTCGAGATGGCTCCGAAGATGCCCCAAGAAGCTCCCGGCCCGCCCCAAGACGGCCCCAGGAGGCCAAATAACAGCCCAGGGAGGCCTCTAAGAGGTCAGAATCCTTCAAACACCTACGGAAAACAAATGATTGTCGCCTTCTCGCCTTTTCGCTTCCGACGGGCGCCCGAGGCCTCAAGATGGCTCCAAGAGGGGCCAAGGAGGCCCCGAGATGGGCCCGAGAGAGCCCCGAGACGGCCCCAAGAGCGCCCAAGAGCGCTCTAAGAGCGCTCCAAGAGCGGTCCAAGAGGCGATTTTAGAGGCTCCCGAGTTGGGCGCAAATTGCCACCACCCTCTTCTGTAATCGATGTCCTCCAAGATGGCCCAAGAGGCGCCAAGGGGGCCCCAAGAGGCCCCCAGGTTCCCAAGAGGCCCTCAAGAGGACCCAAGCGGCCCAAAGAAGCCCCCCCTCCCTCCCGAGACGCGCAAGACGCCCAAGGGCCCCCCTGGATCGCCGAGGTGCCCCCAAGACGCCCCAAGAGGCATCCAAAGGGCTTCCGAGAGACATCCGACAGGCA